AATTGTTGTGCTCCGGTTTTTGCAGCGCGTACAAAATTTGTAAGTGAGGCTGCCTCACCGTCGTATTTAGAAATTTCTAATGCTGCGTTTTGTATTCTAGCTTGCGATGTTGTGAAGTTAAATGCTTCTATTAGGGATCGAGATAAATCTGCATCTGCCATGTTGGAGTAACAAGTTTGAGCAGTTCCGAAATGGTAGTCTATGCAGCTCTATTTTGCCCGGTAACCGATCCAGCTTGTTCCCTAGGGTATGTAATAACGAATCCGTACCTAGGCCAGATTGCGAATACTACACTGAATCTAATACTCTAACGGTTAGAGCCACGAGTGACAACGTGCAGTCCGATCTTTTACGCGTGAAATTGAATGATTTTCTGAGCGTCTGTGCCATGATTTTGGCTGCTTATATAGTCGATTTTTGCTGATGCTCTAGGTTCGGTTAGGACGTTAGGAATGCACTCGGCTAACCAGCTGGGTAGGTGGCACGGGCAATGCACTGGGTAACGTGCTGAGTCTGCAATGATGCTTCCTGTCAGCTACGTTATTCTTCTGTTTAGAAATGAAGGTTGATGTACGTAACAAATGAAAATAGTAAATTCTACAAAATGAGTGATACTGTATATAAGACCTTACATAGTAATTCGAACAAGACCACTGATTCATTTCATCATGAATCAAAATAGTAAACTCCATAAAATGAGTGATACTGTATATAAAACCTTACACAATAATTCGTATAAAACTACATTATGTATCAGGACGGTTGTGGGTATATGAGAAGGTTTAAGGCGAGCGATTTGAAGGTTAATCGTCACTTTTGGCATAGCTACTAAGTGTATTAGTATCTCAAAATGAATATAAAGTACTACACTAATCTTGTTTTAATGGCTGTTAAAAAAATGTAGGGATGGTTTAATCCGCTGTCTCAGTAGAATCATGCTAATCAAGACATTTAATCCAGCGATACTGCTACTATAAGAATTTTTGACTAATCATAATGGGAATCGAGTTAACCATCAATGTGTCTGTTATTTTCATTTTTCTTTTTTAATTTCAAGGTCAAAGACACTGCAATTAGAGAAAATGAAACAAAGAATTATTCAAGAGGTTGAACAAACGGAACAAGAAGAGAAATGTTTGACAGAATATAAGCAAGAGATGGATCTACTTATGCAAGAAAAAATGGCACATGTAGAGGAGTTGCGACAAATACACGCTGACATTAATGCGGTATGAAATATTCTTTTCATAATAATATGTAATTAGAAAATTGTAGGGACCATTATACAGGGTGTTTGCGTTATTTGTACACAACCTTTTACTCGTAAACAAGAAGCAGTATATTACAATTAGAGACAACAGTCCCATAATTTCGAATTAAAAATTGATTACAGTAATAGTGTTTTCTCCATGATGATATTTTTCTGCGTACGAGTACAGTTTTCTGCTTTAAGGCCGTCGTCTGCTTTAGAGGCCTAAAAAAAGATGATTTTCAGCGATTTTTTGAGATTTTTTTTTATAGGGAGAGGAACAACGGAACATCTTTAAATGTTTAGTGTATCTTAATGTACACTTGGAAAGAAAAAACAAATTTTTATCATAAAATTATCGAAAAAGGGCGGAGTTATCAGTTGACCATTGAAGCGCCTCGCTGCTGGAGTCTCGAATTGGTGGGAAAGATGGTGTGCAAAATTCTTGTCCGAAACGTAAAAACCAAAATTATTTGTAATTGACATATATTTCTATAATCAGTAAACCAAAAAAAAAAAAAAAAAAAAAAAAAAAAAAAAAGGGGAATTTTAAAGAAAAAACAAATTTTTATCATAAAATTATCGAAAAAGGGCGGAGTTATCAGTTGACCATTGAAGCGCCTCGCTGCTGGAGTCTCGAATTGGTGGGAAAGATGGTGTGCAAAATTCTTGTCCGAAACGTAAAAACCAAAATTATTTGTAATTGACATATATTTCTATAATCAGTAAACCAAAAAAAAAAAAAAAAAACAGAAAAAACTGTGAAATCATATTAGTTTTCGAGCTTCAACAAAAAAGTGACGATTTTTACAAAGATGTTTTTCTTTATTCGTGCAATATAAAACGTTTAAAATGAATTTTTTATCAATGTTTTTGGTTCACTTAGGATAGTTTTCAATACTCGAGAGAATGAACTTTAGTTTGGGTCGATAGATCAAATAGTTTTTTTTGACAAAAACGAGATTTCGAGAAAACGCGCTTTAAAGTTCTCGGTCGAAAAAATATGTTATTGGTAACTTACACACATCTGTTCAACGCTTACCTGTTCTCGGATCTGTATCTTCCAAAATAATTTGAGTTGACTTCTAAAACTTTAGGAGTCTACTTTCCAATAGTGAAGCCATCGAGAAAAAAAAAACGATTTTTTTGACCCTCTAAACTAGACGACTGCCTTAACCCCTTTAGTATCAGAACTCGAAATCTGCGTCTGTATTCGACGCATTTCATATAGTCTGCTGAGAATAGCTCTGATGGACCACCTTTATTTTAAATAAATTTTATATTAAAACAATTTGTTGATATATAAAAACTTTATTATATGTACAAAATTTGTAGAACTTCTCTGCTCTACGCACTTAGGCCTCAGGCACATTGTGCTCATCTTTCTATTCTATACCCTTTACTTATGCGAGTCCGCTATCCTTCGTAAAAGCCAGGAGTTTATTGAAGGCAACGGTGATAATCTCCCTCCCTTTTCTCCAATCGTAGCGCTCCTTGATGTTAATGATGCTCCTTGTTGCTCTTGCAGGTTAATTTTGATCTGTCTTATTCCCGGCGCCTTGCGAAACAGATGTTTGTGCTGTGCTTTTCAGATCTTTCCGTACGCAACCCCTGGTCCGTTTTGAAGCCGTCCGTAAACTAGACAAGTTCGTGCCCTCGGAGGGATCCAGGCTCCGTTGCCCATTCCACCATCTTACAGCATACCACCCTATAGGTGCTCTTGAAATAGTACATGATCGGGTCTCGGTCCTGCTTTCCTTACTATCACGGGACTTGCTGCCTTTAGTGTCCCCATGATGTGCGTATGGTTTTCTAGCGGCAGTTTCTTCTGCTACTGAGCCGTGCGTATCAGTCTGTAGACAGCCGCTATAGCTGCACCTTGTGTTGCCACATGAAGTGAAGTGCCGGCCAGTGCAGTTGGGTCTCAAGCGTTAGGTTTTGTGCGGTCCTCACGGCATTGGCAGTGCCCCGACCCGTCATCCTCTGGATGTGTGTAAGCATATCTTTCGCTCTTTTCGACTGGGTCCTTCCCCATCATGCCATGGCTCCATATATTATAGCCGGCTTCACCACCAGTGTGTAGATTTAGTGCATTACTATTGGATTCAGCCCCAAGTGACGCCACACACACGCTATGTGGCCCAAAGCAAAGCGCAGGCTTTGTCCCGGAATTTTTGTATGTGCGGGTCTCACTTCAATTTCGCGTGCAGGATTACTCCTAAATGCTTCACCGAACTCGTGGATCCTATTTCTTTCCCTCGAATTGGCGAATCTTTTGATGTCTAAGCACTGTCCTGCAGATGTTTAAGCGCTGTCCTGCAAATGAAATCCACTATGTTGCAATTAAATAGTTCTTTGATGTCCAGGAAAAGTCTTACCGTTATGTAGTCTTAATGCTTGCATCCTCCAGACTTTATGAAGTGTAGTTTCCATTAAGTTGTTCGCTTGATAAGCGAACTATAGCTGATATAAGGGATGTTTCATTAGTGACCCTTCCTTTACGTGTCTGCCTATCATCCTCTCCAACGTCTTGAGTAAGAACGATGTGATGCCGATGAGTCTTGTGACGAAAAAATATTTTGTTTGTGACAGATAAATAATCCGGTATCATTAAACGATATGGTTAAGCAAAAATCACAATAGTCGGAGAGTCCAAGAACGATGCTCGGTAATGAAATCTTCAAAATAGCCTTTTTCCATGAACACGAGATACGGCAAGGTTATTGGGCGCCAGACACCTGGGAGATGTCGTAGCACGAACTTAACACACTTCGCGATATCCTGGCTACTCAGCCCACGGGAATGGTAGAGGGGCTGGTCCTTACGACACATACACACACGCGCGCGCTCAGGAATGATTCGCATACGAAAAATAAAAATGCTAGAGATTCAGTAACAATAACAAAAGAATAAAGAAATGTATTAACACACCGTTTTGCTGAGCAGTAATATAAATTACAGAACGGTATGTTAGGCGCAACAAATCAAATTTTAGCGAGAGCAGTAAAATAAATCCCCCAAAAAACACTTAGGTATAAAAAACTACTACACCAAAAAGTATGGAAATTATATCATTAAGGCCAAATACATAAGTTACTACATGTTTGCGTATTATATAATCTGGCACTGGCCTATCATTTTAATTATATTTTCAAAATTTTCTATAACGTTTTTGCTACTCTTTTACATTACTGCTGCTTCCTGTAGTTGATTATGATTAAATAGTCATTTAATAATTAATAAAACCTTAGGTGATTCCTTATCGAGTACTACTTGGCAGGTCCGTCCATTTCAATCAAACTCCAAACCAGTGTCAACTTTGTATACAGAGCATATTAACAATAACTCATCAAAAATAATCACGGTAAAAGCTGAATAATAAACATATAGTTTTAAAATACTATTAGTACGTTCAAAGTAAGTACTTTGGAATTCCTGGCATGGACCCGCCAAGTAGTACTCGATAAGGAATCACCTAAAGTTTTAATAATTTTTAAATAACTAATTGATCGTAATTAAATACGGGAAGCAGTAGTAATGTATAAGAGTAGCCAAACCCGTATAGAAAATTTTGAAAATACAATTAAGATGATGGGCCAGTGCTAGATCATATAATAGCCAAACATGTAGTAACATATGTACTTGGCCTTAATAATATGGTTTCAATACTTTTTGTTAGAGGAATTCACAGTACTCCTGTACTTCGCGTAGTTTTTTATACGTAAGTAGTATAAGTATGGGGGTTCTGGACCAGGATTCCTGTAACCGACATATACCGACTTCTACTGTGATCAACGAAGGTGCGTCGTACCCCACTTTATAGCCTTTGATCTCTGCATGACGAGGAATAGCTTCGCTCAGCCGCATCGGCACATAATCGCCGGTGAGACGTATACTTCAAGACCTAGCCCCTTAACTGCTAGCCCATTGGAGTTCCACCCGTCACAACCTTCTTAAGTTTTCTTCCTTGAACCTTTTCGCGGAGATGAGTGCGCAGCACTAGAGAGGGAGAGAGGGAGAGAGAGACGACGACGAGCGGCATCCTTTTTTTTGCGTTCAGTGTGGAAGAGCGGTTTCGGGAACTTTTGCATCGAGGGTGATTCCAGGTAAAACAATACCCTCCCTATACAGGTTTCGGACGGCAGCCGATTTGACCTCGAACGTTATCTCGCAGTGGTCGTGCGTCGAGAATGCAGTCCCTCATCTTCCGAGGTGTCAAATTACTCGTAGGAGATACGTAAGCGCGCGACGCAACTTCGTCGGAGGAGCAGGAGGAGGGTTAAGGTTCATCCGAATATTCCAGAAGGTAAGTCGCTTCGTCTGGAAGATGCATGGATCTTGACATTGATTCCAGGAATTTCTTGCTATTGAAGTCTCCGGCTATCAGAAGGTCTCCGTTGTGTTGTCTGATACTGTTTTCAAGATCGATCAGTCCTTTTTCAAACTCGTCGATCGTTTCGTTTGGTGAGAAATAGCAGCTGTAGATGCAAATTCCTGCAACCTCAACCCATAGAAATCCCATAAGTTCCTCCTGCGAGTTGCTTACTTTCAGTTTCTGGTTGGGAATTATTATGGCTGCCTTTTTCGTAGAGTCTTGGAACCAGATCGTTGCATCACACTTCTTATATTGCTCGCTTAGTACCAGTATACCAGCTTCGGTTTCACGTGCCGTTTGGAACAGAAGCAATAAAAAATAAAGCAGGGTGCTCTTTTCTCCGTCTGTGCCCTGTTTTCTGTCTTCTTCTCTCTTTCGTGTTGTTTTTCTGCGCACTGTTGTGACACCGTCCTTGTCCAGGTTTTGATCAACAGAGTTCTTTCTTTCTATTAGTTTTCCATTTCCGTTTTGCGTTGGTGTCACTTGCCTCTGCTTCCTTTGGTTGTCAGGCATTTTTGGAGGGGCCTCTGGTCTCCTCTTTCTGCTGTCGTTTTTTTTTGCCTTCCGCTTCTCCACTCTGGGTGGGCAGTTGCTCGCTCCTTTTTGGTTTTTCCATTGCCTCTCTCTCTCTCTTTCTTTCTCTCTCTCTCTCTCTCTCTCTGGCTCTCTGGGAATGGCTTGTTGGAATGGCCGCTGTACAGGTGTCTCTTTGTTGTTCTGCTCTGGCAATTATTAATTTTCAAGTCTATCTGTTAATAAACTCACATCTTCCTGTGCCTACGTTGTGGGATTGTGCGCGCGTGTGTGTTCAAGTGCCATTGTAGATTTTCTTAGTACATATTCTTGTTTTAATTTAGTTTTCTTTTTCTGTGCGTGCGTGAAAATTGTCGTGCGAACCGTTGATATCACTGCGCATGCGTGTCACAGCTGTTCTTATCAATTGCAATCGGTCAGCTGTTAGCGTGCTTCTCGGTGTGTTTACGTTCGTCTGTTTTGCCTAACTATAATTATATACAATAACTATATACAGAGACTAATGCAGTAACTATATACAGAACTATATTATCCGCCGCCTACCAAACTGCCTTATCGGCTGTAAATGGTTGTATGATTCTGTCACCTATTTACAACTCCTTCATGCACCCATGCCTGCTGTGCACTGTAATGTGTGCAAAAAGTTCATATCCGTCACCAAGGCTGTTAAGTGCGCTAGTTTTGCTTGCAACGCTTATGCTCATCCTTCGTGTCTGACTGGTGGGTCCAAGTCGGCTCCACAATTCCTGTGCCTGCGCTGCAAGCCCTGCTACTCACCGTTGCCATCTTCTGAAGGTACCGACCACTCTGCAGACAAGATCACTACACATACTCGTCTTTCGGCCCAGACCAACATGGATAAATCTACTGCTTCTTCGTCAACTTCAACGTCTGCCCAGTTGACCTCCTTAACCGCACTGGTGAAAGATGTTATGGATGAGCTTAAGAGTCAACGTACCGACTTAAGAGAACTTCCTATCATAAAGGGCATTGTGTCTGAGCTTACAGTGACCACGCAGGATATGGCCACTTCTGTACAACAGCTGGCACTTGACATATCAGCCATGAGCACTAGATGCAGTTCTCTTGAGGCAGCTAATCTTTCCCTGGTGGCACGATGTCAGACTCTCGAGGAGCATAATACTGCGTTAGTACAACGTGTTGACTCCCTTGAGGAACGACTTTCTCGGGATCCTGAACTCTCCTCTGATGATGGTACTGCTCTCAAAGCTCAGGTCGAACATCTTATGCAGCGTAACCTTGACACACAAATAGTTGTCACTGGGCTTCTTTCTGCTCCTGATGTTACCGTTGAGAGGACCATTGAGCTCCTCGCTCGCTCCTTGGGCATTGTCACTAAGTCTGGCGACGTTGTGGATGCCTTTCGCCTACCACCCAAGGCTGGAGGTGCACCGCCACTCATAATTCGCTTCGCTACCATTTTCATTCGGGACTCATGGATCGCTCAGAAGAAGAAGAAGCCTGTGCTTTTGGCCTCGGATATTGACGCGTCTTTACCGGGTTCTCGTGTGTATCTCAATGAGCGTCTATCCTCTGTCAAGCACAAACTCCTCGTCGACACCCGCGCCTATGTGAAGCCTCACCGTCACCTCAGGGTCTGGACACGCCACGGCTCCATCTACGTTAGGAAGGACGGCGCCACTACCTCCCTAAAGATTGAACACCGGGATGACTTCGCCAAGATACCGATATGATGGCCAGCTTCGCCGCAATCCGCTCCCGCTTCTCGCCTGCCTACCGGGATCAGTCTGTGCCACGTCAATGCTCAATCAGTTGCTGCTCACATTGATGAGTTCCGGCACTATTTCAAAAACCGTTTCTTCCACTGCATTGCTGTATCTGAAACGTGGTTTAAACCACACACTCCTGACAGCGCTGTGAGCCTTGACGGGTACTGTCTGTTTCGCTGTGATCGGATCGGGAGAGGGGGCGGCGGTGTTGCAATTTACGTTCACGACTCCTTAAGTGCAAGCCTGCTAGAAACCTCCGGAAATGAGTATTGCTCTAAACCTGAGTACATTTTTCTGGATGTGGTCGTTCCCAGTGAGTCGCGCTTGCTACTGGCTGTTGTGTACCGTCCACCTAAAGTTGGCTATCTATCTGAGTTTGAGGCTGAGCTTTATAATAATTCGCTCATGACGGCGTCTTTTCCTATTGCATGGAAGAGGTCGCTTATTTGTCCAATTCCCAAGGGCACTGGGCGCCCCTCGACCCTGTCAGACTTCCGCCCCATCTCGCTGGTCTGTGGACTGTCTAAACCGCTTGAGCGTATTGTTAATGCGCAGATGGTTGATTTTCTCTCTGAGAATGGGGGCTGGGATCCGTGTCAATCCGCATACAGGGCTGGTCATAGCACCCAGACTGCCTTAATCAAGCTTACTGATGATGTCAGATTCGCAGTTGATGAGAGAATGGTCACCGTATTAGTTCTATTTGACTTTAGTAAAGCCTTCGACTCCATTTGTCACTCTAAACTACTGGAGTGCATGAAAACGGTTGGATTCTCGCACAGCGTTAGGAGGTGGTTCGCATCTTACCTTACCGGTCGTTCTCAGGCTGTCCTTGGTCCGAATCTCACCACGTCTACTTATCTACCTGTTACCTCTGGTGTACCGCAGGGCTCAATTTTGGGCCCTGCTTTATTTGCGCTATATGTCAGAGAGCTCCCGTGCGTACTCGAACATTGTTCTCATTTTCTCTATGCTGACGATCTGCAGATTTATACCCACTGCACTCTAGACGATCTTAGAGATACCCTAATACGCGTTCAAGCTGATATCGACGCCATATCTTGCTGGGCTACTGCAAATTGTCTTGCGCTAAACGCCGAGAAGACCAAGTGTATGATACTTGGCAGCGCTAGGTATCTAAACCGTATTGACTTTCATAGGCTACCATGTCTAATTGTTAATGATGCACCAATTGCCTTCGTCTCATCGGCCCGGAACCTCGGTGTCATCTTCGATAACGTCTTATCCTTTAATGAACATGCGTTGGGCGTCAGCAAGCGGGTAAACAAAGTATTATATATTCTTAAGCGTAACCGCGCCGTGCTTACTTTGGACCTCCGTAAGATGCTTATAGCTACCCTTATTTTCCCTCTTATCGATTATTGCTGCATCGTCTATGGAGGAACCACGGACACTGTTCTTAGATCCATCTGTGTCGCACTGAATTCCTGTGTTCGGTTCATTTTTGATCTTAAGCCTGACCAGCATGTCTCGCCATATTATGAGCAACTTGGATGGCCCAAGTTTAACCACCGTCGGCTATATTATATGGCGGTCCTGACCTGGAACATTCTTAAGTCCGGCGCACCCGCCTATCTGCAGGGATCAGTACTGCCCGTCTGCACTGCCGGGCATCGCACGATACGCAGACCTCTCGATCTTTGTGTTCGAGCGCACCGCACCGTCTTTTTTAGGCAATCCTTTTCTGTTTCTGCTTCACTACTATGGAACTCACTCCCGCTTGTAGTTCGAAGCGCCACCTCTCTTTTGCTTTTTAAGAAACGATTGCGGGAGCATATCGCTACTCTGTCATTCTGAAATGTTTCTTTTCTTTTGATCGCACAGTTATTTTATTCGGTTAATCCATATTATCATGTATTGCATGTATGTTTTTGTAGCTACCTTTTGCTATATTTTATACTACTTATACTACCTGTCAGCACTATGTATCTATACTGTTTACTATTTATTTATTATTCTATTTACACCACTTGTCAGGATTATGTATCTATATTGTTTATATCGTACCTGTTTCTCTACTATTATCAATTATCTATGTAAATATCGCTATTTTGTGTTACCCGGTCTAAGGAGTCTGTTGACTCCCGATCGAATAAACTTATTTCTCTCTCTCTCTCTCTCTCTCTCTCTAGTTGTGTACGGTACGCGGTAATTTACACGTACCGTTGTTGGAAAGTTTATTAGTAAGTGGTGTAGTGTCAATTCTTTCGTTTTCTTATAATAACATACAAAGTGGATAAGAATAAAATCATATTTTTGCCTACAAATAATTACTCCGGGCAATAGTGGTCAATTCTGTCACTGGTGATATAAGCACTTCTTAGAGCTCAAAGTGTTTATTTGGGAGTGTGACAAGTGGCGCATCGATTGTTGTGAGCCGAAACAGTGTATACAGAAACAAATTTTACCTTTCCATCAGGTGTTAATTATCT